ATTGGTTTCCAGGTGGAAGGCGGTCCTGGTCGGAGTTGGCTTGATGCACCTTCCTCTTGGCACGTTTCTCTGTTTCATGCCTCTTCACATTCTACAGCACTGCTGGTCACAGCTGACCTCTAGCTGGAGTGTTCACGGGCCAGCTTCCCATCAACAAGATGAAGTATCATAGCGATGAAGATGGAGAATAAAGTAACCTAATGCCATGCTGAGCTGCCAACCTTGATGCCTGAGTGACATAAAGCAGTGGAAGTGGGATGTGCCTAAAAGAGATCCAATGAACTGAAGCAAAGCTAAAGCTACTAAGATGCATTAATAATATTTAAGATCTTTCTCATTCAGATTTCTTTTCCTCATGGTGAGCAATTAGCTGAGAATGATGATCATCAGTTATATAGCACCATCACTATACATGGTGCTTTACAGTGGATATTATTATATTATACTTTTGACAATCTGTCTCCTGACTATTAAGCTAGTTGGCGTTGCACCATCCCTCTTTTATCCTAAAGGGTCTGCTTCACAATATGAAAGTGTTTACTGGTGCAACGTAACGACAGGATACTCCGGAAGATCAGAACACTGAGGCAAGTGTGCCACCATTGACTATCTCTGCGTCCACAGTTGCCAATGCACTCAAACTCAACTGCTTTGGATTGTAAGGTGAGGTTGTCTTGGGAGATTGCTCAGATGCTAAGTCAGGTATGATAGCTACATTTTGCTTTGGGATCAGTTGTTGGGACTGTTACCTTCTGGATATCTAGACATCTTCATAAGTTACCATCTTCATAAGTTACCAAGTTCATAAGTTACTGTTCCTGAGCACAATTAAAAATGTTGATTCTTGGAGCAGGTTATCTCTGATCTCACAGAGTTGGAAAAAGCCACCAGGGCCATCCAGTCCAACCCCCGCCATGTAGAAATACATAAAGCATTCTTGAGAGCTGTCCATCCAACAGTCTCTTTCAATAAACCTCCATAGGAGGAGACTCTACCATACTCCAAGGCAGCATATTCCACTGTCAAATAGCTCTTACCATCAAGAAATTCTTAATGTTTAGGTGGATTTTCTTTGCCTGTAATTTGAATGCATTGCTCTGTGCCTTAATCTCTGGAACAGCATAAAACAAATTTGCTCCATCTTCAACATGAAGCTGGAGCAATATAGTGAGATCAACCTTACACAGCAATCTGCCAGTGTTCTATAGCTGTTACTAGGAGTCCTTTTGCAAGAGCCCTCTGGCTTTGCATCTGTGATACTCCGAATTCTGGGAGTAGGACTCTGGCACCAGCACTGGCAGGGTTGCCAGAGTGAAAGCTGGAGAGAGTTCCTGACCCTACAATAGCTGTGCAGAAGAGGACATTTCAGCAGATGTTCCTTACAACACAAACACTGTGCGACACCTGCTTAAATTCCCTTTTCTACACAATGGTGTGCAATGGTGTGCAAATATTCCAAAATTAAAATCCAAACAATGATTTTACCATTTTATATCAGGGCAACAATTTTACTACACCACTATATCTAATGGGACTTGAGCACCCACATATTTTGGTATCCATAGGGGAACCTGGAACCAAATTCCAGTAGATATCAAGGACCCACTGTTGTTGTTGTTGTTGTTGTTGTTCTTCTTCTTCTTCCTCCTCCTCCTCCTCTTCCTCCTCCTCCTCCTTCTCTGATCTATACCTTATAGCCTGATGGTAATTTCTCTTATCTAGGAATAATAAGCAGCCTGCATTGGGGGCCGAACTTAGAGGCACCGATGCCGTCCTTGGCCCTCGCGCACCCGGAAAGCTTCGAGAGATAGGATAGCTGAAATGGCAGGAAAACCGGGAAGAGGGGGCCTGGGCCCGATGGCTGGCGGCCTCTGGCAGTGCCGGCTTACCCTCTGACGGCGTGGGGAGGCGGCCGACAGGAAGCTCTGGCGGGCTAGCCATTGCGGTCATGAGCATGCGATCCTCCTGGGTATCTGCGCTACATCGGGACCCCGTTCGCGTCTTGCGCCCGCCTCCGGGCCGCGACCCAATAGGAACGGGACCGGCTGCCATCTCCGTCCCTCCCGTCGGCTCCCGCCAGCGCCCCAACTTAACTCCAGCCTCAGTTTTCCAGATCGCAGCCCACTGCTGAACACTCCGCCGAGCGTCCCCCCGTGAGGCTCCCCCGCCCCCTCAATGGATACCCCGAGAGACCTCGGGCCCCCCGCACCCTGGGTGCTGGCCGGCGTGCACCGATCGTTGGCCCCGGTGCGCGCCCCCCGCCCGGGCCCCGTGGCTCACGCCTGCGAGTGTGGAGCAGCGCAAACCACAGACCCCGGGCAATGCAATGCGCCCTGTCCCTGCACCATGGAGGATTCTATAGTCATATAAATGCCATGTAATTAATATACGGGTTGTAAACCCATCTCGGCCCCCGCGGATCCCAGTGGCACATTACTGGTCAAAGGACATTTAATAGAGTGCCAAGTTTGAAAACTTTGTGTTTTGTTTGATTGTTTGTTTTAATGCAATACAACTATTTGGTTCATTCCTGACATGATAAATAAATAAGCCAGGGCAGTTCAACTGGCTTCAAAACTGCTTTGATTCCACAGTGTTGCTTGACACCTCAGTCACCAAAAGGATCCCAACTCCCACCACCAAAGGGAAAGGGAAGTTTCCTGACTTAATGATTCTAGGCCCTTTGTGGCTCAGCTCCAATGATGCCTTCAGCGCACCTTGAGAACTGCAGGCAAAAGGGAAGTGGGGAACTCTCCTTAAAAAAGATGCTAATGGCCTAAGTTTTTCTCTTGCCTTGGCGGAGGATGGTTGACTTGGCAACCGAGTCTTTGCAGAATCTGGGGGTGGGATCTGGTCCAGCAGCCAAGAGCCGCCGGAGGAGTGAGTGCACTGACCCCAGGAAGGCAGGGCTGCATGTGCTCATGCTTGGCTGTGTGTGTGTGTGTGTGTGTGCTTTGAGGATAGGCCCACTGAACCCCCCCCCCCACCTGAAAGGGACTGAGGAGGAATCTGGATCCTGTGTTGCTGTAGATTTTTCAGGCTATATGGCCATGTTCTAGAAGCTTTCTCTCCTGATATTTCACCTGCATCTGTGCAGGGAACCTTAGGATGATATATGAAAGATATAACTGAGTGGTCTCTGAAAGGTTGCAGGTTCGAATCTGGGAAACGGCATGAGCTTCAACTATCAGCCCCAGCTTCTGCCAACCTAGCAGCTTGAAAACATGCAAATGTGAGTAGATCAATAGGTACCACTCCAGCAGGAAGGTAAGAGCGCTCCATGCAGTCATGCAGGACACATGATCTTGGACAACGCTGGCTCTTTGGCTTAGAAATGGAGGTGAGCACCATACCCCAGAGTCAGACACGACTGGACTTAATGTCAGGGGAAAACCTTTACCTTTACCTGTTGTTGTTTATTCGTTCAGTCACTTCTGACTCTTTGTGACCTCATGGACCAGCCCATGCCAGAGCTCCCTGTTGGCCGTGGCCACCCCCAGCTCCTTCAGAGTCAAGCCAGTCACTTCAAGGATGCCATCCATCCATCTTGCCCTTGGTCGGCCCCTCTTCCTTTTTCCTTCCATTTTCCCCAGCATCATTGTCTTCTCTAAGCTTTCCTGTCTTCTCATGATGTGGCCAAAGTACTTCATCTTGGCCTCTACTATTCTTCCCTCCAATGAGCAGTCAGGCTTTATTTCTTGAAGTATGGACTGGTTGGATCTTCTGGCAGTCCAAGGCACACCTCTGAGGATGCTTTGCCATAGATGCAGGCGAAACGTCAGGAGAAATGCCTCTAGAACATGGCCATATAGCCGAAAAAACCCACAACAAAACCAACCTTTAAAACTCTGGCATAGACACTGAGAACTGGGAAGCCCTGGCCGTTGAGTGCTCCAGCTGGAGGTCAGCTGTGAGTAGAATTTGAAGAGAAACGTGCCAAGAGGAAGGCGCGCCTAGCAAACCCCGACCGGGACCGCCTTCCACCTGGAAACCGATGCCCTCACTGTGGGAGAAGATGCAGGTCGAGAATAGGGCTCCACAGTCACCTAGGGACCCACCGCCAGGATACCACACTTGGAGGCAGGGGTGCCTCAACCCATTACGCAAAGTAAGCATTCGCAGTACAGTTGATTTTGCCCAGGGGTGCTCTTGAGACGCTGTTGGGGGAAAATATACCTTGATATATGCGAGTTGTAGTTACTGGGATGTATAGTTCACCTAAAACCAAAGAGCATTCTGAACTCCACCAATGATGGAATTGAACTAAATATGGCACACACAACTCCCATGACGAACAGAAAATATATATCAGTGATTGGTTCGGGGCCGGGGGCAAAATGCTGTTTGTTTACCATTGAAAATTACCTAGGGCCGCCTCTGTCCCACCCTGGTCTTTCCACAGATATATAAACCCATTTTCCTAGTTCCAACAGACCTCACTACCTCTGAGGATGCTTGCCATAGATGCAGGCGAAACGTCAGGAGAGAATGCCTCTAGAACATGGCCATATAGCCCAAAAAACCTACAACAACCCAACCTTATAAACTCTGGCATAGACACTGAGAACTGGGAAGCCCTGGCCCTTGAGCGCTCCAGTTGGAGGTCAGCTGTGACCAGCAGTGCTGTAGAATTTGAAGAGAAACATGTCAAGAGGGAGGCGCGTTTAGCAAACCCCGACCGGGACCCCGCCTTCCACTTGGAAACTGATGCCCTCACTGTGGGTGAAGATGCAGGTCGAGAATAGGGCTCCACAGTCACCTAGGGACCCACCCCCAGGATAATACACTTGGAGGACCATCATCCTCGGACTAAGGAAAGCATCTCCTCCCGCCTTCAGGGGCGTTTAGTGCCTCCCATCACCTGGTCCATAGGAAAAGGATGCTCTCTTCCTCCCTCGCTGAGGGATCTCCGAACCGGTCCGGAAATTCCCGAAGCTTTCCCCCCCAATCGCACTAGGAGAGGAGGGGGGGGGGATATAGGAGGAGAGGCGGGAGCGCGCACGCAGGCACGCACACACCATCCATCCACACCGGGAGCGCGCTCCTCGCTGGCCATTGTCCTCCCTGCTTCGCTTCCAACAGCCATTCCACCCAGCGCCTCTCCTTGCCGTTTTCCCCCCAGTGACATCAAGCCTGGGGGGGATCTGGACCCACAGCCCTCTTTTTCATCTCATGGAGCGAGGGGGCGCCGGGGCCTAAGCAGCCCCTATTATTGCCCCCCCCCCCCTCTATTCTTCATCCCCCGACCAAGATGGCTTGATTGCCCCTGGTACAAGGAGCAGTGTTTCCTTTCCATCTTTTGGTTGTTGTTTTGGAGGGCCCTGGCCACCCCCCGCTGAAGGAATGGACTGATCCAGACAGGCGAGCGTGGGGATCCGTGGGCTGGGATGTGGCGGCGGGCTGCTGCTGTGCCTCGGGCGGCCCTGGCCCGGCGGTCCAGAGGAGGAAGAGCCTGTTTTGTTGTTGTTGAAGGAATGGACCCTTCCGGATAATTCCCTCCCTCCCTCCTTCAAAAGGGAGGAGGCAGGGGATTCCTGCTGCTGGGATCTCAGGATGGAAATGGACTGATCCAAGGGGGGAATCTGGTAAGAGGGGGGAAAAAACCTGCCAGACTGGTTGTTGTTGTTATTGTTGTTGCTGAGGATGCTTTAATTTCATATCTTTGGAGGGAGGAGGGGGGGGGAGATGTAGTAACCTTGGTCTAGATGGCAAAGGGGAGCAAAGGGGGGGACCAGATCTCATGATTGCCTCCTCTCACCCAGATTGTGCCCTCCATCTCCACCAACCCTCCTCCTCCTCTTCCTCCTCCACTTCCTCCTCTTCCTCCGCTTCTTCAGCAAGATCTCCCATTCTGTTCATCATTCATTACCATGAAGAGAAGAAGCTGAGACTCAGGTCTTTCTGCCAGATGCCACCTTACTCAAGCTGACTACTGAGGACAATAGGGAGAGAAGGAGGAGAAGGAGGAGGCAGAATCAGGGCCTGCCGGAAGAGAGCAAGGGGAGGAGGGGGCCACCCTCTCAAAGTGACAGCTTCCCCATCCCTTTCTAGGAGGAGGAGGCAACAAGACCAGCCGTGTTGCCAAGGCAACAGCCCTGGGATACCCCTCGCCAGCCCCCCTTGGTAGGGGATGGAGGGATGGAGCGTCCCTCCATCCCTTCCATTGGCTCCCATCCCCACCCACCCACTGGTCCCAGTGTCATCGCTACAACTGATGTTCCGGACCAAAGGATCGGAGGTGAGCAGGCCCCAGTCGCCAGGCAAAACCGCATGCTCAGAGCTGGTGATGCAGGGCTGTTGTCTGTGGCCATAAACTCCCCTCCTTCCTTCCCTCCCTCCCTTTCATGTCTCTGTCTGCCCATCCCTCCATCCATACACACACACAAAACAACACTCTTGTCATCTCCATCCACAGCCATCATAGGAAGCCCCTCTTCTCCTTCTATTCATCCATCCATCCATCTCACTCTTCTGTCACCACCTTCCCCTGCTCCTTTATTCCTCTCTTGCTTTTTCGATGTCTCCGTAGAGCCACCACCTGTTTGGGGATGATGGAGGGGCGGTGAGAGGGGGGGGGAGGTTGTTCTCTTTTTAAAAATCCACCCCCACATACTCATGACCAAGCTGAGTGTGGGAGTCTTATTTCCATTTCACCAGAGATCTCTACCTACCCCACCTTCTCACTGCCTGCTCGCTCCTTTTGTCTCTTCCACCCTGTTGCTCCTCAGCCCCCACCATCTCTCCATTCCATGGTGGTTTCCCTTCTGTATATATGTAGGAGACGTGGGAAGAGCTGGAGAAAGAGCTGATGCTCTAACACAATGATTCCCCCCCTCCACACACACACACACACACATTTATGCCATCCAAGGAACATCAACCCTTTGTTGAGTAACTGAGCCACTTTGGGAAGAGCTCAGATTTCAACATCCAGTTTTTAATATTCCCTTCCGCACTGACATCAAAAACACAAGCGAGTGAGGTACCGAGTGAAAGAGTAAGCTACGGGTAGGAGTGTATGTTCCCTTTGTTCCCACTCATTGGGCCTGGTCTGGATTTGGTAAGCAATTCTGGGTCCACTCTTGGATTGAATTGTGTGGTCTTTTGGAGTGCATGTTTTCAAAATTAAAGAAACAATGATGGACCGATCCTTCTTCAACAGATACCTTAGTGTAAGAGAAGAGTAAGCGAATGGCAAAAGGTTCTAAATCCCAAACATTTTAGATGAGGATTGGCTTTTTTTTTGTTTTTTGTATTGTCGAAGGCTTTCATGGCCAGAATCACTGGGTTGCTGTAGGTTTTTTCGGGCTATATGGCCATGTTCTAGAGGCATTCTCTCCTGACGTTTTGCCTGTATTTATGGCAAGCATCCTCAGAGGTAGTGAGGTGTTTTGGAACTAGGAAAAAGGGTTTATATATCTGTGGAATGACCAGGGTGGGACAAAGGTCTCTTGTCTGCTGGAGCTAGGTGTGAATGTTTCAACTGACCACATTGATTAGCATTTGATGGCCTGGCCGTGCCTGAAGCAATCTTTTTGTGAGAGGTGATTACACAGAGAAGCCATTGAAATCCACAAGCATGTGGACAATTTCAACAGAAAGGAGGAAACCATGAAAATGAACAAAAACTGGCTACCAGTATTAAAAAACTCTAAAATTAAAACAGCAAAACAGCAGAGGGAAAACAATCAGGGACATCTAATCACCTCTCAACAAAAGATTGCTCCAAGCACAGTCAGCCCATTGTATGCTAATCAAGGTGGTCAGTTGAAACATTCACACCTAGCTCCAGCAGACAAGAGTCCTTTGTCCCACCCTGGTCTTTCCACAGATATATAAACCCAATTTTCCTAGTTCCAACAGACCTCACTACCTCTGAGGATGCTTGCCATAGATGCAGGCAAAACGTCAGGAGAGAATGCCTCTAGAACAGTGGTTCTCAACCTGGGGTCCCCAGATGTTTTTGGCCTACAACTCCCAGAAATCTCACCGGTTTCTGAGAGTTGAAGGCCAAAAACATCTGGGGACCCCAGGTTGAGAACCACTGCTCTAGAACATGGCCATACAGCCCGAAAAAAACCTACAACAACCCAGAATATGTTTTCTTTTCACCTAACTTCAGGGTTAATGTCACTGAACTTATGAATATGAATTTCACATTTAACTGTGTACTAATGTCACTCAGGAGTAAGTCTATTGTGAATGGTCTACATTTCTGTTACAGATAACTTTATTGATCTCCATAGTATGTAAATAATGTATTGTCGAAGGCTTTCATGGCCAGAATCACTGGGTTGTTCTAGGTTTTTTCGGGCTATGTGGCCATGTTCTAGAGGCATTCTCTCCTGACGTTTCGCCTGCATCTATGGTAAGCATCCTCAGAGGTAGTTTGCCATAGATGAGGACGCTTGCCATAGATGCAGGCGAAACGTCAGGAGAGAATGCCTCTAGAACATGGTCATATAGCCCAAAAAAACCTACAACCTATGTAAATAATGCTTCACCCTTACAAACAACTATCCATCTGAGAATAAACAGTGAGTTGGTCCAGGCAATGAAGCGTGAAAGCTTTATAATAATTATATATATATATATATTATATTATATTATATTATATTATATTATATTATATTATTATATATAATATATTATATATAATAATTTAAGGTCTAATACAGGTTGTTTATCCATTATCTGAAATGCTTGGGATCAAAAGTATCCTGTATTTTGGATTCCCCCCCCCCCCCCAGATTTTGGAATATACTCAACACACAATAAGATACATAGTGAGACAAATTTTGTGTACATTGAATTATCAGTAAGCAAATGTGTCACTATCTCAGTCACTCATGTGAACAAATTTGGATGTTAGAATATTTCACATTTTAGAATTCCAGATTCCAAAGTGGGAAGACCTGCTAGTCTATATAAATAAAAATGTAATGTTAGTTTGTGGGATTAACATATTGACATCAAATTTGGACACAATCCATCTGTCAGGCCAACAAGTGACCATCACTCATAAAAACACTGAAAAACACAGTGGAAGAGACCTAAAAAGCCAAAAAATAAAATAAAAAATACATTACAATGTATGCGCAAAACCACATATACATAAATATATACACATACAAACACACACACACACATATATATATATACACACACACACACAACACATATACACAGATTGGGCCATAGCATCACGTGGCAGGGGATGGCTAGTCTACATAAATTAAAATGTAATGTTAGTTTGTGGGATTAACATAACTCAAAAACCACTGGAGGAATTGACACCAAATTTGGACACAATACACCTATCAGGCCAACAAGTGACCATCACTCATAAAAACACTGAAAAACACAGTGGAAGGGACTTAAAAAGCCAAAAATTTAAAAAGAAGAGACTTAAAAGCCAAAAAACAAAAATTACATTACAACGCACACGCACAACCACACACACACACACATATATACACAAACACACGTATACACAAATATATATACACACATACAAAACACATATACACAAACTGGGCCACAGCAATGTGTGGCAGGGGACGGCTAGTAGTAAATAAATAACAAAATGATAGGTTAGTAACTTTAAGAGTTTCATTTGCAAGGCTGAGTAAGTCACTAGTAAGTTTAAAATGTACCTTTTTGGACAACTAATATGTTCTGTCTTGTTAGCATGTAAGTCAACTTTTACACCAATGTGAAGGTGTAGTGTATTGTCTAAGGCTTTCATGGCTGGAATCACTGCGTTGTTGTAGGTTTTTTCAGGCTGTATGGCCATGTTCTAGAGACATTATCTCCTGACGTTTCGCCTGCATCTATGGCAAGCATCCTCAGAGGTAGTGTCCTACCTCTGAGGATGCTTGCCATAGATGCAGGTGAAACGTCAGGAGAGAATGCCTCTAGAACATGGCCATATAGCCCGAAAAAACCTACAACAACCCAGTGAAGGTGTAGGTTTCCAGTATTATTATTCTCCTTTTTGAAAATTAGTAGCAAGTGCCCTACTTCACACAGTGTAAAGACAAAGAAATTAGAAAGCAAAAAAGTTCAGTGCTTAAATGAAGGATGAAGATAGCCCAGCTGTTCAAGAAAACACATCTGTAGAAGGCAAAGTAGCCATGAACTCTGGCTGGAACCAAATGCTCTTGAGCCTAACTTTTGGAGCCTCAGCCAGGACATAGCTACAGGCTACTTGTTTATTTTGTTGCAATTTGTATCTTATTTTATTGTAACCTGTTGTTTGGGCTTGGCCTCATGTAAGCCGCCCGGACTCCCCATTGGGGGAGATGGTGGCGGGGTATAAATAAAGATGAAGATGATTACTATTATTACTAGCTGTACCCGCCATACGTTGCTGTGGCCAACCTTCCCTCCCTCCCTCCCTCCCTCCCTTCTTCCTTCCTTCCCTCCCTCTTTTTCTTTCCCTTCTTCTTTCTTCCTTCTCTACCTGTTTCTTTTCTCGTTTCCTTTGCTCTTTGGTTCCATCCTTCCTTGTCTCCTTCCTTCCTTCCTTCCTTCCTTCCCTCTTTCTCTCTTTCATTCCTTTTCTCCTTCCTTCCGTCTTTCA